CCCCCCCCCCCCCCCCCCTCTTACGGATAGATAATGACTGGTCCCTAATATTATAAGTCAGGTCTGAGACTAACTACTTATTAACCGTGAGTGAGGTCTTTATGGGAAAATCTCAAACTGAGAGCTTGCTGTAGCGATAATGAGGTCAATATGGCAAGGCCAAGGTTTGAGATTTTCCTGTAAAGACCGAACATTTGAGGTTAATAAGTTGCCTATTTTATGGCTTTTTGCTTTGGTTTTGGGGGCCTGTAATCAGTCCGTGGGCATTACGGGAGAATAATGCCCTACAATTGGCCAATCAGGGTGTGCATTATATTGGCTACAAACACAAGCCATATAACAAAGGTATTAATAGGATATCAAATTTCTGGTCAGTTCATAAACTCTGAAGTTGGCTGAACAAGCCTGGGAGAAGAATGCTTGCATCGCTCACATTGCAAAGTTGAAGGCTGCTATCGCCGAGAGCCAACAACAAATTGCCACACTTGAGCTGAGTATGGTGCCTTCCTCTTCTTGCAAATTAAAACCATACCAAAGTGGCATCGTCTGGTGAAACACCTGTAAAAACGTGCGTCGCTAAACAATTCTGCTATTGCTGTGCATGGAACTTCACCGGCCACTCAAGGTCCTCAAGGGCAGAAAACAAATACTAAAGTCAACGCGATCGACAGTCAACGCTCTCACACTCTCACAACCCCAGTGCTTCTGCTGGACTCCCTGCTCACTGGCTATGCCAAAGGCTAGGCGCGGGACCCCAGGACTTTGTTGTACACAACCTGGACGGCGCACTCACAAACCCAAAGGCGGATGCAGAATGTTTCTAAAGCTGGCAACACTTGTGAAGGGTGAGCATGTTTTAAGAATTGTTGACTCTGTCGACAAGATCGTATCTATGGTCGAGAACAGTACAATATCTGAAATAGGTGCCACTAATTAACTAGATGTTTCAAATGGGCCTAAAGAGCCCAAATTAGACCAGGTTACTATCGCTCAGTGGGTTGTACTGAACACCAGAATTTTCTATAATCTATTAAGTTCGGGTAAGCTGCCATCCCCTCAGGATGTGCAGCACTATTTAGCCTACACAGTTAAGGTCATGGAGCTTGGCACTAAATTCACATGGTACTCAGTCCAGAAATACAATGACGAATTTTGCCACATCCATGGAGTTAAGATTCTAACCATTTCCACACGGTTCTTTTAGAACCTTTAGCTAGCAAAGCTGCTCTGGTTAAGGCTCCTCTGGCCACCACTTTTGCTAATTTCAGTGTGGATGACCAGGTTATCTGTAGGAATTTTAATAGGGCTAAAGGTTATACCCTGGCTGTATGCCACTTTGCTCATGTGTGCAACCAAAGGGTAAACCGCAAGGCATGTGGGCAGTCACACCCCTCCCATTCACATTTCCCTCAGCAGGGGATAAGGGTCCCACCCAGGGTCAGGGTCCTCCTAGTATCCCCAGCTGACTCCCTGTTCCCTCCCCACTTAACACTAATCTCTGGCTGGCAGAATTAACTGGCGATGAGGATCAAGCGTTCCTCTCTGATGCAAAAGCAATGGCTTCAAGTTAGCACCAGCAGAAGCTACTTTAATTCCTGTGCAACAGGGCAGTTACAAATCCGATACTAATGCGGCAGCAAAAGTAGCAGTTGAGCAGACTATCCTCAATGAAATTGCAGAGGGTAATAATATTATTATGTTGTCACAGATACCAAGCATTGTTAGCACACTAGCCAGGAGCTATTCCTAAACCAGATTCTTCGGGAGTGCACTTAATTCATGACTGTTCTCGACCCCATGCATGGGGATTGAATGATTATATCCAGTCACAATCATTCAAATTTCAAACATTACATGATGCTATTAAGTTGCTCTAGCCAAATTATATCATGGCTAAAATTGATCTTCAACATGCCTATCGATCTGTACCTATACTATTCACTGCTACGGATTGAAGTTGGCAATTCACAGGGCATATAGTCACTCCACTTACTTCTATGACACTTGGTTGCCATTTGGTGCAAAAAGCTCACCAGAAATCATTTGATGCAATTGGTGAGGCATATGATGGCAAGGCGTGGCTTACATGCAGTCGTTGTCTACCAAGGTGACTTCCTTGTCATAGTGTCAACTTGCCTTTAACATCCTGTTACAGTTACTTCAAGATCTTGGCCTCCAAATCAGTTGATGCAAGGTGCTTCAGCCTACCTGAAAGCTTGTGTTCCTTGGGGTAGAACTCAACACCTGCAAGTGCAAGGTGGCCCTGCCTCCAGACAAACTTGACGAGTTATATCAAGAGGTCACTGCATTCCATTCCCATTGCAGAGCAACCAAAAGCAGCTCCAGGGCCTTGCAGGCCAACTAAATTGGGCATGTCGAGTTGTGTATGGGGGACGCATTTTCTTGCGATGCATCCTTGACATGACGAACTCCCTCATCTCCCCTACTGCCAAGCACAAACTGAAGTGCCTTGCTATTGTGTGTTATGATTTAGGTTTTGACTCTCAATTTAAAGCGACACCGCATACTTGTCATATAACATAAGCTTAATTATGTAAAATTACAGTCTGCTGTTCATCGTTTGTCAAAATACACTTCAAAAGACTTCTGGAATGTTTATTTTCACATCACTTCTTTTTTGTCTACACAATAGTTCTTGCTTCACAGACATTGTCTCTGTTATTTATTGCATGTTAAGTACACTTTCTTTTCTCACACCTTGCTACATACTCTCACTGTTATGGACACTAGACATCCCCGAGCGTCTTCACTATAACAAGAGTTGACTGTAGTGAGTTGGACCCAGAGACCCCGGCCTGTCTTCTGTCATCACCTTTTGCCATCGTGGTTCACAGCTAGGACTAAAACTAGCAGTTATGGAATTAATCATCAAAGCACCATGATAGTCTTTAGAAATGATTATTAATCAATTGATCAAATGGTTTGAAATGGTTTCTGTCAGTATTATCTTTGCGTATTAGTAACAAGTACCACAGACTACGCTTTCGGTGTTTACATTGAGGCTTAGAGTTGGTTTATGTGAATGCCACTTAAACAACTGAAATTATATTTAGTGGGTTTTTGCTTTCTTTTTTGTATTTTACATTTGGTTTTCATGGCTTTCATCCAAAAAAGTTGAAAATAATTCAATATGATTTTTGAACTGGTGCACGGAATTAGTGGTGAGCAATAAAGACAATGGAGTGTTTATGTCTCGGAACTATCAGTCTGATAGTTGCTCCCTGGAAATTTGATGTCCTTAAATGTAGCATATTTGCCTTCAAAGCTTCACTTCTTGGGTAAAGATTTGTTTTAAGAAGATCAAATTTCTGCGGGGCAACTATCTGCTGTTAGTTCTTGGACAGAAATGCTCTATTGTTTAAATAGAAATCTCAAGCTCATAATCTAATTGTTTAATAGTTTTGTTGTTCATGTTCATGTTCTTGTAATTATTGTCAGTGAAGTGACCTAGTTAATGGTAGTGAGTTGACTATGCCTAACTTTGCTTATATTTCACCCCTAAATTACACAACACAACAAGCCAGGCAGTGTATGGGATACAAGATAGCCTTTACTAATAATTACCTAAATACTCTAGTATTGAAGCATGCAGTCCTTAATTAAAATATAATAGAATAAAAATACTTCAGCATGAGAAACAAGTAAACTGAAGTTATGCAAGGTAAACCAGTTTTTTTTTTTTCTAAAGGAAGTTACACGCTATTAATATTGACAAGGGAGAGAATGAAATTCATATAAATCAAAGAAGCTGTCATTTGAAGTGTTTGAACACAGTAACCAGGGAGGGATCCAGAGGAGGGAAAACTGAAGCAAATGAAATAAATCTGCCAATGTTGCTTGAGCTTCAGCAATGCTAAAATGTGATCCAGCTCTGTAAGCAATAGAATATCCCGCTTGCCATCGTAAAATTACGCTGAGTAATAGTCTTGACCATATAGAGTAGTGATGTTACATGTATGACAAAGTTGATGCAACGAAACATGTACTCAAAACTATTACTAGCTTCCTTTATAAATCCTGCACCCCACACCAGAGCTACACTTCATAATTAAAACTACATCAGCGTGAAATACTGATGCATACCCAAAACTTTTCCTGAGCAGGAAGTACAAATGTCAGACCGGATCAACTCTGATTGCCAGCCTGGGTCGGATCAACGTGGATTAGCTCAGATTGACTGGGATCAACTGGGATTATTAAAAAATAATAATAATAAAATTAGAGGAAATGAAAACTTCAACCCATTTCAAGGTTAAA